ATGAATGTCATATTCTGAGCACTATATGAAGGCGATTGTTCTCACTTGTTTATGAACTAGTGCATTATGTCCAGTTTGTACCTTTTTTATCTATGTTTATAGTCAAATTAGTTATCAAAGGTACCAGGATTATAATTTAATACGCCAGACGCGTGTTTCGTCTACATAAGACTCATCAGTGACGTTCAGATCAAAATAGTAATAAAGCCAAACAAGTACAAAGTTGAAGAGCATTGAGGACCCAAAATTCCAAAAAGTTGTGCCAAATACGGCTAAGGTAATCTATTCCTTGGATAAGAAAATCCTTAGTTTTTTCATTGGCAATCATAACACATCTCCTTATTTATATAATGATCTATATTCAACGACCTCAGGTACAAAAAAAATGTATGTAACTAAACTATGATGGGAAACCTTTGACTTCTTTCTTTTATATAAACTTTTGATTTGGTACCATAGAACTATGTAGAATAAATGTACATTGCAACATGTCAACTCTTTCAACTCCAAGCAAAATTATATTTCCAAGCATAAAGTAATTTATGAATGAAAAAAGGAGTTCTTAATTAAGAAATAAACTGATTTGCTGAGCGCAGCTGGATACACCCTCAGAGGTCCAACCCTGAACAGTTGGGACAAAAATGGACTCAATATTCAAGCTTGATACAGGTCTGAATTTGGATTGTAATTAAATATTTGACATATTATAGTTTCTGAATAAATGTAGTCAATGAACTTGAAATCGGTTATATGAATTGAATTTATATTCAATTAAAGATTTCTTGCTGTTGTGCAATACACTGTGCTGTTGCGCAATACTTAATAAATCTGTTGCCAGACTATAAACAAATAAAGTTCAATTTCTTCTCAATGTCATATTTGAAATTTATGAAAATCAATAGGGAGATTACATCAATAGCTATAAATAATTCACCAAAGTTTCATGTGAACTGCTTAAAGCATTTTTGAGTTGTTGTCCAAAAACTGGAAAATCCCCCCTTTTTTAATGAATAAAACCCCACAACTCAGAAATGTAAAATCTAAAATTTATAAAATTCTAAAGGGAGCTTACGGATTGATAATTTAGTCTTATATGCAAGATTTTTTTATCAGTTGTTATTGGCTTTGAACTAGCTGTCAGTAACTGCGAGTACTCTCAGATCTGTACTTGGTGTCTTTTTGTTGTTTGGATGTACAACTACCCGACCACGTCCACTTGTATTTGTATTTATCCATCTGATGAGTTAAGCCTCTTTCAACTGATTTTTATAGTTCTTTCTTATATTGTACTGTTACACCACTGTCCCAGGTTAGGGGAGGGTTGGGATCCCGCTACCATGTTTAAGCCCGCCACATTCTGTATGTACATGTATGTGCCTGTCCCAAGTCAGGAGCCTGTAAAAGTGTAAATCAGTGGTTGTCGTTTGTTTATGTGTTGCATATTTGTTATATTCGTTCATTTTTTGTACATAAATTAGGCCGTTAGTTTTCTTGTTTGAATTGTTTTACATTGTCATTTCGGGGCCTTTTATAGCTGACTGTGCGGTATGGGCTTTGCTCATTGTTGAAGGCCGTACTGTGACCTATAGCTGTTAATTTCTGTGTCATTTGGTCTCTTGTGGAGAGTTGTCTCATTGGCAATCATACCACATCTTCTTTTTTATATTTACATCAACAGATATAAAAAATTCACCAAAGTCAAGGTGAGACAACAAAACACTGAATTTTTTTACAGGGTACGAGTTTTTCTCATTGTTGGAGATTGTACGGTGACAGTAACACCTGTAACTGCTTAAACCCATTTCTTATGCACTTTAGTTCGATAAACTCACTGAATATCATACCACATCTCCTTATTTTTATATGCATTACAATTTACATGTGCATGTAATTGTAAATATATATATATCAGAACAAAATTCATTGCGTCACTTTTATTTATGCATCCTTTGGCACAATACAAGTTCTAAAATGACACAACATAAAACAACTAAATGTTATTTCAGATGAAAGTTTTGTTTCAGTTCCATTCATAGGATTTATTAGAATTTTGTATGTTTTGCCAAGTCCAATAATTCGCTCTATGTGACATAGAGACATAGTTGACTAAACCACCAGGTGTCGAACATTCAAGAATTTTCAGTGTTTCTGTTTTTATTTGATGAAAAGGTTGCCTGAGCTCTAGGAGCTTTAGGTTTTATCACGGGATATTCTGTGCTGTCAATAATAATCCAAGTCGTAGGAAACTTTAATTTGAAGTTGGATGGTGAAAAATACCTGACTAAACCACTAGATGGCCAAGTGTTAGCCTCACACCACTGTTTAGACATAAAAACAATCCATGTATACACAATATTCTTAACACTAGATTCAATCTAGAATCTAGACAGTTCAAAGTTGGTTGTATCATGCCTCAATTTCATCAAAGTCATAAAAAAACTGATTTTCAACTGACACCCTATCAATTTGAAAATATATGTATCTCAAACAATGTGCTGCTGGACCAAGTGTGGTCAAAACAAATAAAAATTAAGTATACAACTCTAAACCGGTATAAAAATGCATGGCTGTGTCACGTGTCTTCATTTCAAAATTCTTTGCTGAAAACATAGGCATTGATGGTGTTTGCGTAATTCCATCTGTGAAGCTCAACATTAGCTCGGCAGTTGGTGGTGGACAGTCATAAATCCTTTCTGCAGTATGAATGACTTCTTCAGGAAAACCAACTTTACAATCAAAACTTTCCTCTAGATTTCTACTACAATATTCATCAAGTTTAGTTCTTTTGTTTTCACAGGAAACTGCCCTGATTTTTCTTTTTGCGGACGATTCAGTCTCTTTTTTGGTCCAGGAAAATAGGCTGGGAATGGCAGTAGACTTAAGTCTCTGTATGGTGGGTTTGCGCCCTGAAAAAGGTTATAAAACATTAGTTTTTTGATAATTAAATGAACTTCCGCAGTCTTCAAGATAAACTTTTAGATCTACAGGCCCGGAAGTAAATTTTTGGAAAAATTTAGTTAGATTCTGTTGGCCTGTAGATATGATTTTTACAGGCCCTAGAGCAATTTAACAAGCCTGGGCTGCTGGGCCTTTGGTTCAGTGTGAAGACTGGAAGACTTCCATTAGCAATGTATACTTTGTACTACCTGGCGAAATATTAACTAGATTTATTCATTACAATCTGGATAAAACTATGTTTGCCTGATTCAATGTATGTTATGTAAATCCAAAGGACAAACAATGAGAGACTTATGCAACAAACGTACATTGTTTGTACCTAAATAACTATAATATAGATGAGAGCATGTCATTGTTTTGTTCATTGTCATTGATATTTTTCAAGAAAGTCTATGAGGCATAGCTTATGCATTCCTGTCATTACTACATTAGCATAATTACTGCTAAAATAATTCTCAGTATGATATACCTCTTGTAAGAAATCATTATAATTGTAGCAATCACCAAAAAATCTCAAACAGATCACATTGAATCGTAATCCAAAAAATTATGACGTCTTGAATTACCCACCCCCTTTTATTCTAAAACGATAATTGCGGTTGTAAACAGACTTTGGTTTATTCGCATGGCGATTACATATATAACTATATATTTCACAAAGAAAATAGAGTTTTACCATGAATAGTTTCCTGCACGTAGTCTTTTTCAGTAAAACGTGCCTTGCAAACAACAGCTGATTGAGATGGACTCCACGATATCATCGTGTTCTCGTCCAATCTGCGTATGGGCAATGGCGTTGATCCAACTTTTCCTTCTTTTTAAGTCTTTTGGAAATGCATGCCCTCCTCTTAAATGACATCCAGGTACACAACAACAAGTACTTGGCATCGTTAATTAAAAATATAACTGAAATAGTTGCACTGTGCAGAAACCGGAAGTTGAGGAACAGGATCCGCTACCACGGCGCCACCTATTCAGGAACGATAATTTGCTACTTTATATAACTGCGAAATAACAATAACGTTAGACGGGTTCACGTGCATAAACAGAAATGCGCTTTAAATTGTATAATATAATTCATGTTCAGTCGACCTTTAATTATTATATCAACGACTGAAATGATTTATAAACATCTAGATTGCAGATAACACTCGAAATTAACCCGAGCTCTTTCCCACGGAATTCAAATAATTCTAGTTTGTCAATCGGTTGACTGCTTATAATGCAAAATACTAATATATCAAAAGTTTTTAAAACTAACAAAACACAATGATCGTTTCTCTATTTCCCAATGTAAATGAAATGAAACAAAAAACATTTTATATCGCAATAAGAAGAGGAGAGAATTCAACATTTCCGGATCTACTTGGAGCCTAATGACCCCCCACGTAGATAAGTTGGATATCGCGGAAGGAAGGATTAACCCGGCAACCAGAAAGGCATTAAAGCACTGCCTTTAAAAACGCTTGATTAATCCAATTGAAGAACCTTAAGTGAGCAAGCTGACATACTCTATGCCCCCTGCATAGAAAGGGCAAAAACTTATGATCACTTTATGGCATAGTGTTTTCTTTTTACTTTAAGATATGAGTCTTTCTTATTAGGATTTCATGCAGTTATATTGCGTTACACATATGTAAAACACGTTCTCATCTAAAATTAGAAATTCTCATTAACGGTCATTTGCCATAATTCGTACTCAAATAGGTCGAATTATCGCTAATAAGACAAGACTTGTGCAAAAACGAGAAAAATAAAAGAAAAACACGTTTTTCTTTTTATCAAGCACTTGAAACTCGTGAATCTGACATATTGAACACCTGGTGTATGCTGAACTGAATTGTAATAAATTAACTTGCATTTCTCAGGCCTGTATGCCAGCATACGAACCTGGTGTATGCTAAAGTCTACATTTGATTTATACATTATATTTCTCAGGTCTGTATGCCTGCATACGAACCTGGTGTATGCTAAAGTATACATTTAATTTATGTATACATTGTATTTCTCAGGTCTGTATGCCTGCATACGAAACTGGTGTATGCAGAACGGCAAATATTGAATCAAATGTTGTATTTCGCAGGTCTGTATGCTAGCATACGAACCTGGGTGTTTCCAAAAAATCCTTTACTTCAGTAGTTGTGTTTTAACGCTGATTTCGATTTTTTTTAAACTAAAAGCCTACCACTGACCTCTATATTTTCTCCCGATAGGTAAACAGAAAAGCGTTAATTTGCAAGGCAAACCGGTAAAGCGTTTACTGTTGTAAATCTAAAAATGAAAACCGATTCTCAAGTTCCACGACTATGATCACTTTATTGACATGACAGTTATCTGTTTTTTGCAAATTAAAATTACGGAAAAATGAGGCGATCATAATTTGTACAAGGTTCCAAGTTGTTGACAAAATTTTAAATGACGTCAGGGACCTTCTGACGTAAGGCGGAGGGAATTATAGACGGATAGCACTTGACTTACGCGAGTTACTTTTTACCAGTACACTTAATTAAAATAATAGCAATTGATTACAAAACAAAATGTTTTTTTTATACTTTGTATTGGTAAATGATAAAAAGTCAAAGAACAAATGGACTATTTATCTGCGTTGAATGACCTAATAACACCTTATGTCACGCACTCCTATATGACGTCATTTACAAATGTAAACAATGTGAATGATCAATGAAGGAGTTCCCGTCACGGAGAAGAAAATGGACAATTCATTGAAAAATACGCTCTATTATCTAAATTTTAATATACCAGAAGCAAAACAGAATGTCAGATACATTTACGGTAAGTAAACCTAGCTGTTTTTGTACATTTTCCACGAATTTCATAGAACACCCTCTTTTTTTAGAAGTGACTGACTGATTTAATCCGGCTTGAAAACTATAATACAAGATTATTGATTACGCTAAGTTTGTTTTCTCAAGAGGTTTGTTCACTTCAATCAATTTCATGCTAGACATCATGTGGCGAAATTTACTGCTGTTTTACTATCAAGCTACCCCCCCCCCCCCCATGAAAGTATTTAGAGAAAAAATGAATGGGAAATACGATTATGTGTACATCCATAGTGATGTCTCCTTGCATTAGTTACAATTTTAAGGATTTTAAGGGGTGCTTTGTGGGAAAAATTTAGTTGATTTATTGAGGGAAACAATACTGGAGCGGTCCATTTCTAAGGAAGTCAGTGCCCTCCCCAGCCCATCCCCCTTATGAAACTTCTGGATCTGCCACTGAGTTAAAGTCTCCCGGATTTAAAAAAAAATTGAAATTCAGCCCCTATAATGGCTATATATCCAGATTTTCAAAATGCATGGCCAATGCCCTTCAGTTAACCCATTCAGGTCTTATTCTAACAACTTTTAGGGAAACAAAAGTCCAAGGTAAAAGGGGGGGGGGGAGCGCTCACATGTTAAAACCGGCCACACTAGTCTTTATGTGCCTGTCCCAAGTCAGGAGCCTGTAGTTGAAGTTGTCATTGGTTCATGTATGTCGTATTTCTTTTCGTAAATTGTTTTGCTATAAATTATTGTTTCTTATTTTTCATGTTGCCATTGTTGGGTCCTTTTATCATCTGACTATACAGTATTGGTTTTTCTCATTGTTGAAGTCCGTACAGTTGCCTATACTTGCTTGCATCCACTTCATTTGGACTTTGGTGGATAGTTGTCTCATTTGCAATCATCCCACATCTCCTTATTTTTACAAGGAGGTTGTATGATGTGTCCTTGTTTTGGAAAACTGTACAGTACATTTGTCACATGATCACTGCAGCATTCTGTGATGTGTGTATGTAAGAAGCTGTTACTGTAACAGGGTAATATGAAAAGCTATCAACAAAATCGAAAGACAGACAGAAAATTTTAAAATTTAGTGAGCAATAAAAAACAAAAAAAGAAGTAATTCAAACAAATTAAACATACATTTATTGCGAAAGGATCAGAACAGCACATTTCAAGAGTGTTCAAATTGGAAAAATGAATGTTAATAAGGAAATGACATATTTCATTGATCTTCAATCAGATGCATGGCGACAAAAACACTTTCAAGGGAACGACTTCAATTCAACCACTAAGAACCCTTAGTTCATATAAATTCTAAAATCAGTAATTGTGATAATGTTAAAGTTGTGAAGTGTATAATATTCACACACATATATATGTATATAATATGTAGTTTCCATTTCTCGTTTCAGCATTTTTCAAACAGTGGCTATACCTTTCATGTAACTATTTATGTGTTGCTTATGAATTGAATTGTAACACTTCTTAGTGACTGGATAGGTTAAACCAATGCCTTCCTAGAAAACTACGACATCAATGAACAACACCTGACCTTTTGCTGTTCCTGCAAATAAAGTAAAATGGCTTCACTAGAAAAGGACGACACCTAGAACATGTAGAAAAAGCATCAATTCTTTGGCTTTCCTGATTGAAGGATTTATTTTTACAACTCCAGTGTATAATATGCCATTATAAACAATTTTTATCATAGTATAATGCTATAAATTCACTAATTTTCATATCTATTAGCTAATCCAGTTAGATATCGACTTATGATATGCAGTGAAGACAGATCATTGCAAATTGTTTACATTACCGATAATTAAAATACATGTATGCATGTTTGGCATACATCTTTGTAAAGCAAATTGTATACAGACATCCCCCTAAAAGCATTAAAAAAAACAACAAGAACTTTGGCATACACCATGTTGACAGGCAGAGATGCAAACACAATGACTTAAACACTTTGCTGTATCACTGTCTATTTAGTATGCATATTGCCAACTATATCAGATTTTAAGACAGTTTCGTTTTCTCTCCATCAATTTCTAACCAAGAGTTCCAAATGGTGAAGTTGAAATCATCCCTTCGTAAATTATACGGACGCCATCACGAGTTGGTTGACCGTTATGGAATAACCGTTTCACAGATGATATCGGATATGTTTCTTACGTCGTAACTACAATCCCCTTCCCTTTTCATGAATGTGACTTACCGAATTAGACTATTTACCAGGTTTGTAATAACATGAGCAACACGACGTATGCCACATGTGGAGCAGGATCTGCTTACCCTTCCGGAGCACCTGAGATCACCCCCAGTTTTTGGTGGGGTTCGTGTTGCTCAGACTTTAGTTTTCTATGTTGTATCTTGTGTACTATTAATATTTGTCTGTTTGTCTTTTTCTTGCCATGGTGTTGTCAGTTTATTTTCGATTTATGAGTTTGACTGTTCCTCTGGTATCTTTCGCCCCTCTTGACACAATGCTTGAAGTTACTAACTTAGAGCATGATGAAAAATAATAGTTTTACAATTTAAAATATGAATACATGTACAACATACAGCTGGTTAGAATGCAAACCATTCAGCTTGCTTAATATCCAATAAGTGCCACAAAATATGCAGAAATTTTAGACTGGAGGCAAACCCTACACAAATACACTAGCTCAATGAACACCAGCTTGGTTTGACAATACTAAAATGTATGTAAAACTATAATTTAATAGAACATAGGTGGGTATACAGGCAATCAAATCTTGTATCTATCCAAGTAAAAAAAAAATAAGTGTTCACCGTACACCAGTGTTGTATGCAAGAATACCGTGAACTGAAAATGTCAAACAAATATGCAAACTTTTATGTTCCAATGTGTATAGGACTATAGGTCGGTATGCCGACAATCAAACCTATGAATTCCATTTTTTACAAGAGTTTATTGAAAAGCGGGTTGATATACAGGAATAAACCCCTGAGTGTTGCAGTTAAGAATTGAGAGCTTTCTTTCAAATTCAAACGAAGTTGAAGGCTATACATAAGTAATTCCTTACATCGATGTAATTCGGCCTTTGACATGTTTAATGGAGATACATTTGTATGTCTCTTTCAAAATCATACACATCTCCTTATTTTCTATGGGGGGTTGGTTATGCAAACATAAGTAAATAAGAAATGTTACTACACAGTAAATGCTTAGCATTCAGGCAGACAGACTTGCCAATACAAACATGAATCCAGAATAAAATTTTTGGATTCCATGCAGGCATACAAGTACCTGGCAGAAAAATGCCAAAATAAATAATAATTTGAGTCTATATGCAGGCATACAGACCTGACAAATACTAATATACGCAGAAAGTGAGAGTTTAGCATACGCCAGGTCGGTATGCAGGCATACAGACTTGACAAATACTAGTTTACGCATACAGTGAGAGTTTGGCACACACCAAGTCAGTATGCTGGCATACAGACCTGACAAATTCTAGTATACATTTGTACACATAGAGTAAGAGTTAAGCATACACCAGGTCGGTATGCAGGCATACAGACCTGACAAATACTAGTATATGAATAGAGTGAGAGTTTAGCATACACCAGGTCGGTATGCTGGCATACCGACCTGACAAATTCTAGTATACACATAGAGCGAGGGTTTAGCATACACCAGGTCGGTATGCAGGCATACAGACCTGACAAATACAAGTAAGAGAAAAAAGACTGAATTTAGCATACTTTTCATTGAAACATCTGAAATAAAGATGGGCAAATGCTATGTTATGTATATATTTCAAAAATGGCATAAAAGTATAACAAAAATGCAGAATGAGTAATTTTTTAAGGTTTATTTGCTTCAACTATTTCCTGGGTGTTGAAATAGTTCATTCTAGCATCCTATGAAAAAGGTTTATGATAAAATGATGAAGTTTTGGATTCGCATTTACAAAAAAAGACCACAAATCTTGCAAAAAAATGACAGACAAATATAAATAATGCTATACAGTGACTTTTTAACGCGAAATATATCAATCACCCCAAAAGATGTAGCTTTTTCACACAAAAATCAGTTAAGTGGCATATGAGAATTTCTAATTTTAGATGAGAACGTGTTGTAACTATGACCTTAGATCTGGTGACAAAAAAGATCAATAGGGATCTTCATCTTATAATATGTTACCATATCTCAAAGTAAGGTTGCACAGTTATGGAATGAGCTGTCAAAATGACAGCAAACTGGGTTTTTCTTTATTTTGAAAGGTACTTTCATCCTATTTGACCTGCCACATTCTATGTCTATTTTCCAATCTATCAACAACAAGAACTTCTGGATGGCAAAAGTGAAAATCATCAATTTTGAACTTGACCCCATTTTTTCATCAGTTACAACATATTAAAAGTTGAAAAGCCAAAGTCAAGTGGTTCAAAAATAATTGCACTGAATTCGAAACAACATAAAGTGTCAATATTTAGAAGTAAAGTTATTCTATTTGATTTAGCATCTGGAAATCATTTTTCGGCATACATTTCAGTCTATTCTTTGAAACAATGACCTTGACCTTGGACCTAGTTACCTCAAAATGAATAGGGATCTTTCCCTTATTATATGTGACCATGTATTTAAGTATGGTTGCAATCCCTTATTAAGTAATTTATTTAACATCACAAAACAGCTTTTCTGCTTAAAATTCATATTTTTTTATTTACTTTGACCTAGATCTTAAATGTAGTGACCTCAAAATCCCAGAATCAATGGGTATCTTTCTCTTATAATATGTAACCATATATCCAAGTATGGTTGTACTCCTTTATGTAGTATTTAATTTACTATACAGAAACCCTTTCCTGTACACATTTCATGCTACTAGTATTTTAAGTAACTATGAACTAGACCTTGGACAGTGACCTCAAAATTAATAGGTCTTTCTCAAATTATATGTGACCACATATCAATGTATGGTTGCAATCAAATATAACTATTGGGGTAAGCATCTGGAAACAAAAATGACAAACAGGTCAAATACTATATATCCAGCACTACTTTTTAGCTAGGGGCATAAGCCCAAGACAGACATGTGCCTGACACTCCCTGCCACAGTATGGAAACATATCGGTGATTATTTTTAGTTCTTTTATAAATTTGGAGTCTAAAACTTGACATGACCCAAGAACAAATTACAACTTTACATACAGGATGGATATTTATAATTTAATTCTTAAACTCTATAATATATGTTATATTCATTGTTGTATCCTTTATGGTAATCACTAGATGTCTTTAGTATGTTATTGTCTTGCTGTCACATTGACATATATCACTACTGTAAATTCAGAAATTATTGCGTGCATTTATTATTGCGATTTTGTCATTTTAGACTAAAATGCGATTTTAATTTTTGCGATATTGAGAAAAATCCTGTTTAATTCATATAAAAAATTTCAAAATGCGAGTTTTAATTATTGCGATTATAACCCTGTCGCATTTTTCGCAATAATAAAAACATCGCAATAATTTCTGAATTTACAGTATCTCCTTTTATTCATATGTTAACCAACTTCGATATATTTTTTTCTCTATTTTGTGAGAAAAAAAAGTGTGTTTTGTAAAAATATCAATGTTCAATGTCTTTAGGTTGTTTTGGCCAGATACTGACCCTACAAAACTAGCTGGCTTGGGAAGTTGGGCAAGAACTCTAACCTTTATAACACAGGGTAGCACACTAATGTCTAGGAATAATAGGTTAATAAATGCTTCAAAACTAATATATAAATACAATAATAAGCTTTCAATTTTTTATTTTATGGAAATTGATTTTTATTATGACATGATAAATGGTATAACCATAAAATGATCATATACAACAAGCTTCATCTTAACCAAGACACTATATACAAACATTCTTACGACCATGATTTGAGACATTAATGGGACAACATATATTGCCTATACATTCTCAGGGTATTATATACAATCCATACTTTGGAATTTCCAAACTTTTTACGAAAATAGTGATGAAACCTTTCATAATTCCATCATATAATAACAAGTAACTAAAATAACCCCAAAAATGCTGATAATAACCGATAGAAATACTTGCAACAATCTTGATGTTTTGTATGAATATACCTTTGGTTGCTTGAGAAGTGAAAATATACCAAGAAATAATAAAATAAATATAAAATCACATGAAAAGTATCAAAATTATTGCACATTTATTATCATTTCCCCCAACTCTGAATGAGGTTTAAATTATGCTATTACTTAACAAAAAAAATACATGATAAGTTTTAAACAAAAATGATAAAGAAATAACATTAACAGAATGTATCTGCTCAGATCACTTTATATTATGGCATCAAAAGCAAATGTTAAAACTATCATGCAGTTTGATACTAATAGCAATTTTCACTATGAATGTTCCTATTTAAAATTTAACTTGTGTTTTTTTATCATAATATATTTGTATGAAATCAATATTTTTTTTATCATGAAAAACACTGCCATTTTCAGTTCCTTGGTTTATCCCAAAAATGAAAACATGTGGCATATGTATGGTCATTGGAATAATATATTGTAGTACTCTTACACTCATTAACCAAACATTCGTTACACACATACATATCTTTCCTTCAAATATTTCAGAAGAATTCTTTCAAAATGGGCGAAATCTGTGCAAAAAGGGGATGATAAAATTTAATGTCAAAAGCACCATCTTAATATCTACCATCTTGAAGCACTTTTTCTTACATACCAGTACATATCATTCATAAAGAAGCTTGCTTAATTATTCAAAATTTCAAACTGTATATTGGAGCAGGGAAGAACAATAAAGTTCATAAACAATATCGCAAATTCTAAGCTTATTTCAAAATC